GCTTCTAGAATGTCAGGAGATATTTGCACTATTTGATCAGTATCATGGCAATGATTTGTAGTGTCAATGCATGAATTAGGTATCTTATTTGTTTCATTTAGCATGGCAAAAAATAATTTCTCCATACTGAACTGTCTGTTCTTGTTCACGTTCATTGTACTGGATGTATGAGAGCCTTCTTGATCAGTAACTCTGGTTTCCTGCACAGGTATACTCTCTTTGGGTTTCATGGCCATTGCTCTGGTTTCGTCTTTACCTTTGAGTTGTTCATATTCATATATTTGCGGCTCATAATGATGAATAAATTTAACTTCAGTGATCTCATTAGAGACAAGGCTTTCAATATCTGTTAGTAGTTTATTCATCACAGATAAAACTACCATGTGTTGGTCTAGATTATCAGCCCCCACAGAAAACTCAGCATGTGGCTTCTGTTTAAAGTCAGCATGACTACTTTGAGTGAATTCGCAGACTTTTAACAGTGATGAATTTTGTTTCACATCATCAATAGTTTGCATATCTGAATCTAGGTCATCTGTTTGAGGAACATGAATTAGATATGGCAGTCTTCCTCCAGCAAAATTAATATCTTGCTCCAGATTGCAAGCAATATTCATTCTTTGCTGCCCCATTCTATGTATATCGTTGAAACAGTCTTCCTCCTCCACATCATACATACTGCAATCACCTAGGTAACCATTTAACTCTTCACTAAGAAGTTCCTCTGTCTCTTCTGAACTTACACTGTCCTCAAACTCTGTAGTGTGTGTCAATGGACATCCAAAATGGACATGAGGGGAGTCTTCCAGTACATTTCTAGTAGTCGCAACTGTGTAATCACTGTATTTCTTCAGACAGCTTTTCAGTTGAGGGTTGTCATCACCAGTTTCTACCCATTCAGGTGCTTTATCATCATGGTTAACTTTCAGTTGAGTCTTTGATTCTTTGGATAATTCAGTAGGCTTGTCTAAATTCTCAGTTAATCTTTGAACCAATTCACTAAGCTTAGGAACACTGTGTTGAATAAACCCTGAAACACAAAAAAAGGCAACATTTTACATCACTTTAATTAAACAAATCATCTCCCCTATTGCAATTATTTTTTTCAGTCACCTTTGTAAACTCTTTGTAATATTTATAGACTGTGGCTATGCAAAATTTGCATGTTTGCTCACCTTACACAATCTTGTAAGAAGCTGTTAAGCAAAATGTACTTAAAACTTACACAAGAAGACTATTCATTATCATTCGTGCTTTGACTAAAATTACAATATTGTACAATATTTGTATTGTAGGCCTGAAAAATTTAGAATTATATACTACAACCATTAAATTGTTAGAACATAAAGATATACATATACCGGTATATATATATACACATACCATCATGTGAGTGATGTATGATGTCAAATACTGAATTATTCTCCACTCCCATTGTTGGCAAATTGTTAGATTTGTCCAAACCCTCAACTTCTTCAACAGAATTTTCTATGAGAAAAAAAAAACTATTATTTGTGATCACATTTTCTGGTTTTATGAGTATTCTTGAGTATAAGCACTTATACATTTGTAAGCTAAAAATATATTAAGGCCAACCCCCCCCCCCCTCCACTCCCAAAAAAAAAGGAAACATGTAAATAAGTGAAAACATATGATTCTGATGTACTTCATACAGGATTTAATGTACTGAACAACATCAAGCAAACGCCTGACCTAATGTGTGTTTGTATCTTACAATGGCGCCACCAGTGTCTGATATGACACAGAAATGCTCAGACAACACCCCCCCCCCCAGCCGCATATTTTTTGTGGTCTGACCTGATATATAGAATGGTAAATGATTAATCTACCCAATTATGAAGGTTTTTTACATTTCACCCTCTCAGAACAGAACAATGCATTATTGATTTCATTATTTACCTAGTTTTGTTAGAGTTTTGCAACCAGCTTCTTTGTTGACTGCATTATGATTTTCAACCACCTGCTGCTCATTGTAATTCACACCACCATGTATAGTATGCACTGTATCATCACTCTAAAGAAATGTAGAATTTATAAAAATACAAGATGGCTAGTATTCAGATCATGAAGAGAATAATGCATCAATAACCTTATGTATTCAAAAATAGCAAGTGAGTTTTATAACCACTCATCATAAAGCCACAAAAAAAAACAGATTTTGCTTCTCAGCGATCATCATGTGAAACCTGTGACACATTTTTTGGGCAATTTTGCATACCAGTGATGTACAACACATATAGTAAAATAAAAAATTGTTGAAATACTATACATTTCTTCACTAAAATATTTTGCATAGTCTTAATTTATGGACTAAATGGATATAATTTTCCATTGGCTACATAAATTTTGCTCTACATTTCTATCGGAAAGGTATTTATGAATGTGCTGCCAAATGAATTCTTTTCAGTCTTAAAAGGAATTTACACCTACTGTAAAAAAATTTCACAGAAAATATACAAAAAGCACTCTTTAAGTACATTTATCAAAAATTGGAGAACCAACAAAAAATTCATTGACGAAATGCTACTTCATTGGGAAAATGGTTGAACCATTCAAAACAAATTACAAAAATAAAATCTAAAAGGGGTATCCATTTTCACATTTTGACTGCCTGGAAAAGGGTGGGGTATCTAGAGGTGCTGGTGGTACACTTTTATCATAATGCTAAGTAGCATTTCTTTTCACCTTTGAGTGGTAGTCACTAGCATTGTTTTGACTACAATTCTCAGCAACCTCTTGTGTTCCATGAACTGCTGGGAAGAGCACTGACTGAGGCTGAAAGATAAACGACACTTCAGACCCATCGTCTGTTTGAGATGATTGGCTGCATTTGGTTGACTCAACACCCACATGTTTCGCACACCCTGGTTGTTCCTTTTCAGAGGATACACATCCATTGTTATCATTATAGAAACCAGATTCTGCAAAACAAAGTAAAAGGTTACTACTACTCTAAATATTGAATATACAAGTTCTTAGGACTGCAACAAAAAAGAAAAAATTGTGTTCTTATGGTTGGCGAAATCATAGTGCACCAATCATAATACCAGTACTGTAAAATACTTTATTTTAGCTGGGATTAATTTTCGCTGAAAAGACTTATTGGGTGTTTTGTATGGAATTTATTTTCACTAATTTCTGACGAATTGAATGTCAAATGTAGGAAAAAAAGTATATTTGCTGGATTTCATTTTCACTGAATCATTCCTTCAGTGAAAATAGAGAAAATTAATTCCAAGCGAAAATAAAGAAGTTTACAGTACATGTACTTGCATTTCAATTCAAAGTAAGTAAGTACGCCCTCTATGGCAGTAATGTGGTAGTTCAGAAACATACTTTTCAAGGTCTATAATACCTCACCTACAACACTTGTGGTAGGGACAATAGTCAACAAATTTAATCACAGTTGAAGCTAATGACTAGTTGATTGATTTTGAAGCAAAAAAAACATATTCATGTGATTGTCCTGGTCACAGTGTGTGTCATTTAAAAACATGCTCTTCCCTGCTTTTTTCAGATTTTTGTTTGAATTTTAGAAAAAAAAATGAAATTTCATTTTACATGAAGAATCACAAATTTAACGACAATATCAGAAAAAAATAAGAAGCTGTCAATGTATGTCAATTATAGAAAACAAACTGACCAAAAATGTTTTCATTTTTGAGGGATTTGAATGAGACTTTATTTTAAATGAAAACAGTTGGGTTTATCATTTTTTATAAGTATGAATAACTGTGCCTTATCAGACTTTGAGTGTAGTTTTAGATTATACTAGTAGTTCTGAGACAGAAATTAGGGTTACAGTTTTGATAAATGTAAAGTGTCTGTACATGCATGGCTCAAACTTCATGGAGGCTACTGAGGTATTTACCAAGATGCCCCTAGGTGTCCTATGAAATGCGGGAATTTTCAAATTACATCAATAAAAATTATAACTTCAATGGAACCAAAATGGAAATTTCATAAGGTGGTAACAAGGCATTTTCCATTACTTTATAATAGTGAGATTTAACATTTTTAGGAGTAGAAACCCTCTCGGAATTCTCTACACAAACGCAATGTTTCTATGCCCAACAACGTTCACACGCGACAATTTTTTACCTGGTTGATTTGCTGTATTTTGATTGGCAACATCTTCAAATGGGACTTGTTGGTCAACTTCTATTGACATTGTTCAAACACAGTAAACAATATTTATTTCTTCTGCAAGAGAAAGGAAAAGTCTAAATGCCAATGAACTGTCCCATAGCTGTCAAACTGTCCTGGTAAACTGCACTGTTTTCTCTAGTGTCTGTGCAAACCAATGACATTTGGTAAAGTTCTATATAAAATACGAGTAAAACTTTGTGAAATATTTCCGGTCCTGAACATTCTAGAGATTAGAATCCTTTTCTGACAGTCAAAGTTAAACGATATAGGTTCGTTTTGCTTTTGAAAAGGCACAGCAGACATTTTGTTAAGCGACTTGATAATATGGTGTTAGTTTTGCATGCTACAGTATTTTTTAATTTCCAGTAAATGTTATCGTCGTATATTATATGTATAACTAATGTTTTGTGAGAAAAAAATTACTAACCAATTTTTCTAGAAAAATAATAAATACCTTACTTCTGGTTTTGTGTGAAACTGTAATTTTGTCCTCAAAACTGGGAAACCGTACTTGTATCTGCCGGTGACGAAGCTGTATACAAGCAGACGACAATTTGTGACGAACCGCCCTCTATGTCGTTCGCGAGAATTGAGAGTTCAAAGGTTGTGGGGCGTGGTCATGAAAAAATACTACTGTCAAAACAAATAAACATTGCACGAGTTTCATTATCCGCGAAATTCTCTGGCTTCATAGATATATTAGAATAAATAAATTTATATTAAAATGTTACCACATAGTCGAAATGTGGATTTTTGGTGATTATTATGGGGAAAACGGACGAATTAAAGTCCTGTCGTTGGTGGCGCTTTTGAACTAGCTGTCATTGCCATTTTTAGCCACGACTATTATGGTCTACGTCGAGCGTACAGTGGAAAAGATAGCAAAGGAAACTTATACAGTCGCCGCATTCAACCCGGAAATACACTTATAAATCTGCTCTCTTCAAGGATTAGACGTAAAACGGACTAATTTAGGACATACAAGATCCCGTGGAGCTTGAACTACACGCGTGTACAGTCTCCTTCGCCTGGAGATCGATGCTAAGGGGGCACTTTTGTCTTCGTTTTTAGGTGGGTAACGTTTTTTTTTTACAAACTTGATTCTTGTTGACGTCAATTGACTTGCTACTGTGTCGTAGACAACCACACGGAATGCGGATGATTGCAGCGCTTAGCGTCTCCATGTCGTGCTTCATCGCCAAATTCATTGACTGCCGCCTGGCATCCGATGTGTTCTGTGTGTGGGCAAAACGTTTTTAAGTGTTTGTGGTTTAGCCTCTGTCCCGACCACAGAAAGGCAACCCTATTCATGTTTTGTCACGTGCCCAAAATGGCGACCGTCAAGTCCCGTCTGTACACCAACCATATCTTCGCGTTTCGCACTATTCACACTTGTTAAGGTCGTAGATCTCGTTAAACTCCTCTGAGTCGTTATGCGATAACTGATATTTAAAATGTTGGCGTCTTTTTCGATGTCGCGTCAAGGTCCATGTCGTCTAGCTCTTTTCGAAACAGCGTCTTAAATACAAAGTCGTAAATGAATTTAATTTAAAGGAAGTGCGAACTCCCTCGTTTCTTTATATCTAACTGTGTCGTATATCAAAGTGGGTATTCTAAATAGCGAAAACTGCATAAATAATTCTAAAAATAAAATTGTTTCTGAAATAACGGTACTTATCATTTATAATATGTTCACTTCCTGGTCAAATTCCAGATGTATTTAAAACGAGTTGATGACCTTGTTTCTCCGAGTGTCACTATAGATGCAGGTTTCTCCATTGTCTGTGTGATTGTTACAGTGCATTTACGTGTCCCACTCGAATCACGGTATGTCTTTTTGTTTAGTTCAAGACAGTTACAGAGAAACATTTTCTCAATTTGGCCTACAGACATGCTTTATGATTGTACAGTGCTGGACATATAACACAGAAATGAACAGTTAGTCTTTAGACAAACAGACTTGTGGCGGAATATAATCCATTTTATACCATGAAATTTGTGACATTTGGAACCCATATACTTGAAGCAGAACACACATGTGCATTCTACTATCTATCTAGTATTGTTGACATGTTTTCTGGCTGGTCTTATACCTGTATCACAATTGCACTTAATGCTATATGCATTTCATTGAAATGCAATGAAGTTAAAGGAAGTAAAATTCACACTAAATATTTTGTTATAAGCAATATCAAACTGTGTATTTAATGAAAGCTCATAATTCATATCCATTAAAAATCGTTGTCATGCAAACCTCCTATGGTCATGTGACTGCTAAGTAAACAAATCCTGTATTGAAGATTCAAATGTGTAGAAATAAAAAACCTGAGAAACATAACATTCACAGTGGTTGATGTCTACTTTTGTCTAAAAATATGTTCTTTGTTTTTTGCATTTAGGTAGCCAAATCTTCAGAATGCGTAAATTTAACAAAATTCGCTGTTATGTTCATATTTATTACGTCTACAATCTTGAAAAGAATGAAGGAGTCTGATTTTAATGCTTGGCGGGAGTTACTGCATTGATAATTTAAATGGTCATGATACCTTCTGTGACTAATGTTTTGACAACCAGTAAATTGTAGATAATAGGCAAGCATCTAAAGATGTTCTAAAATTATTTCATACTTGACTGTGTGATTTATCGTACATGTAAATATGCAAGTCATAACAATGTGGGTTGTCAATTTTGACCAATTTGTAAGTATGTTCCATTTATGATAGAGCTCTAAAACGTTCTTACAATAATAGTCATCGCTATGGATTCTATAAAGTATAAAATGTTCATTATGATCTCTGTGACTGCAATAAAGATTAGAACGGTATTTTTGTATGAGACACTGTTTTGCTAACAAAATAACTATATGTTGCCACAGGAAACAATGGCCACATTGTGAGCAATATAGTTATATCATTACTGTCTACATAGCTTTATTATATAATATTTTGCGAGTTATGTTGTCAAAAATTGTTGGTACCATAAAGTCTCTTAGAAGCTGCATCACTAGTAGAAGTCGCACCCATCCTTTTTCAACAATTGAGAACCAAAAATTCACCATTTCTCATACGTGTATATGCTCTAATAAAAGCCGCATCCCTTCTATTGCATTGTACCATTTTAATAAAAACTGTGGCTTTTAATACAGATATTACAGTGCCACTTAATCATGCATTTCTACCTTTGAAAATAAGACCGTGTCTACAGATGAAACGACTGGATCAATACATAATAATGTCACACTGAATATTGATTTTTCAGTCTTTTTTTTTTTTTCATGAAGTCGTTTGTGCTTTGACAGCTCTACAGTGCATACTAAGAACAGAACATGCATTGTTTGTCATGCTTTTGAAAATATAATTGGCAAATCGTGCCTTGTAAAATTCTCGTAACACTCGCTGATATTTACATCAGGAAATGTCCTCAGCTGCCGGTATATATATATCAAATAAATAAAACGCCTTGTGTTCATTTTCTATCTGATCCATTACGGGGTAAACCTGTTTGTGAAAAAAAAAATCAATCTTAAGTGGGTTAGTCTGACAGGTATCTGCAAAAGAATTGGATTCTATTGTTTGCATAACAGTGTACATGCACGATAGAGGGGGACGCGCGTATGACAGGGAGGAAATTGATCACTTTATTTTTTTGTCGTCAATTGCTGATGGCAGTATACACAGACTACTTATGTTTGCTGTCAGTCGGCACCTGTGATAAAGTAACAGTATCTCAAGATTTGATGATTTTTACCGATCATGATATTGATAATGCTGAACAGAAGATATAAAACTAAGTCTGTTCACATGTAAGAGTTGTGGGTATTAAGAAATAGTCATTATAGTCAGTGTTATCTGCACTGTGAATTGTCTTTTGTTTTCCCAATTAAATTGACATCAATACCTAGTTAATTAATCTAAGAAATGAGCTGAGCCTTTATTATACAAATTTACTGCAGAATCATTTATTTTCACTTAAATTTATTTCACAGAAGGTATAACTGGACAATAAAATAACTATGTGTATTCTGTGACAATAAAATACATGATTGTGAACAAATTGTGTATGTCAACAAAAATAAATTCTAGCCAGAATACAAAGTAAAGGATTACATGTGATGACACTTTATTTAGATTTTAGCATTTTTTTCTACAATTTGCTGGTAAACTGAATGAAACGCTTTGGAGTGAAATGAAGCTGATGACAGTACGTAAACAATTGTCAGCAACATTACCAACTTACATGTATACATTGTTTGGTAACAATTCCGTTATTATATATTCAGGGCCTGGAGCTACCGGTATAAGAAATTTGAGACTATGCATCTGCATGTGTATTCTCACATGTTATTGGTGTTTGCCTTATGAAACACAGAGTTCAGTTCACTTGTACAACTAGGGACAGTATTGTGAAAATTTTAGCATTCAGCATTATAATTGATAAACGTAATTTACCTTTTAGCTTTTTTTTTGGTTGTTTGTAAATAGTATTATTATCTAGAGTTGTAGGAAGCATTTTCAATATATTTTTTATACCGTATTTGGGCATTTTATGATGTCATCACTCTGCATCATTGAATGCACAGAATAGCATTAGGTAGGATGTGAGTAACGCCAATGTAACGTCACAACTATAAGTGCATTAGTGAACATTTGTGTGAGATTTTACGTGACATGGGAATTCAGGTGTGAAAATGGAAATAGACATGTATCTATAGCATTGGACTGATAATAATGTTAATAATACCATAAACTCTTTTAATTTCACGTTAGTAGAATTTTCACAAATTTTGGGATTCATGCAAAATTATTACGAAATTTAAAAATCCATTAGGATCCTCAAATAAATACTTTCACTGTGTGCGCATGATAGGATGTACAATCCTGCTAATATAAATTTTATTGGAATAACATGTACGTGTATATTTCCAGGTCAACAATTTCTAAATCATTATGTAACACCCCAAGCCAGGATAACATTGGTATTTAGAATAATGTGCGCCGACCCAGTAAAAAACCCGATGATACATGTGGGAGTTCTTAGTTTATTGGTTATGTAAATAAAATATTTGTTAATGATCATAATTAGTCAAAATATCGTGATACAAAGCATTTCAGTGATGAAGATGGAAAAGAGCCTAGGCATGAAAACACGCATGATTGACTACAGACATATTTAGTCTTTACATGTGCCTGCATAACGTAATCCATGAACTCGTTCTTTTTGTGATTTAAACCGTCAATCTGAATCGTCTCCTTTTATATCGCATTTATTGTGTTTTCGTAAATTCATAGGAATTTAACTTTTTTTTTATATTTTATTTTATTTTATTTTATTTTTACGTTAACCACATATATAAATACATAAAATTATCCCATCAAAAGTGTACAATTTCGACACAAAACCATGGTAACGAGATAATTATAAGAATAGGAGTTTAACTTTATCAGACATGAATTTAAAAACTTACCACTCCTAGCTTGGTGATATTACATTATACATCAGACTAATTTGAATTAAAACTACCAGTAATAATAAAGAATCCTACTTTATTTAATTATTACGCTGACTGTGTACCAGTATGTGCAGGTTTACGAAAATTATATAGTTGTTAATGATTCTGTATTCTGTTTTTCGGGGAGGCGTTAGTAATATAATGTATAGTTGCTTGTTGTAGCAAACATTTCATCTGATCATTCATAGATGGTTTTAACAAATTACTAGTTTAATCTTTATAATATTAGTTGATAAACTAATAACCTTATCAACCATTTTTTATTAGCTCCGCTGTCACCTTTGTCGAGCAGAGCTTATCATATGAGTGGTTGTCCGGCGTCCGTGTCAATGTTTTACTTTTTCGACTTCTTCTTGAAAACTACAAGCCTGAATGATTTGATACTTGGTGTATATGTAGCTTGGGTAGACCTCTCTCAGATTTGTTCATTTCATGATCATATCTTCAATTCTCTAATTTTGGTGAATATTTTTGTAATTTTTGGTAAAAAGTGATATTTTCGACTTCTTGTTAAAAACCGCAAGTCCAATTGCTTTGATATTACATATATAGGGTACTACAT